ATATAAAATATAGATATAGATATAGATAAAGATATAGATATAGATATAGTTATAGATATAGATATATATACATATATACGCTTTATTCAGACTTTTCGCACCTTCGTATTACCTGAAGCAGCGACTCTTCATCGCAAATTTGCTGCACAAAACTAGATTTGTACGTATACGCATAGAAACATTATTATAGTCAGAAAGGACTGACTGATTTTCAATAATGGTACTTGTATGTATGTCTGTACATCAATATCACTTTAACTTAAAGAAATTGAGTCATGTGTGAATACTAGCATACGACCGTTCGGATGGGGGCACACAGGCTTACCAGCAAGCGATCAAATATCTTAATATCGGGCGCTTTCCCCTGCATGAAGATCTTGATGTTCTTATACACCTGTGGTATCACCTCCACGGTGTTTATGTATCGGATGCAATCCTTACCTATGGTGTTTGACGAAAGGCATTGAATAGTATGAGACGCTCGGCGCTTATCGCTTTGTTGCGGACTGTCCAGTGATTGACAGATGAACATACTAGCGCGCACGTATATTTGAACTTCTATCTTAGTGGTACAACATAGATCAGATGCAAATAATATATACATACAACACCTAACCTGCATATCCATAGTCTTTTGGATAGCAAATACGCGACGTTCAAATCTCAGATTTCATCAGCAGACTATGTAAAGTGACTGTTAGGACGCACCATGGTTCTCCTCCTCGTCCTTATTGACACCGAGAGAGCAAGGTGCCATGCTCACAGGTACATATACACGCTTAAACACTTAGACACGCACACTCGCTAAATAACCGGACATTAATTGAACGACACAATTACTCTTAAACATCCGCACCACGCACGCACGAGCACACACAGACACACACACTTTTACATGTACATACTACAGACACACACACTATTACATGCACACACTCTCGTACCCAAGTAATCCAGTATGAAATTTTTTCCCCATACATTGTCATATGCTCCGCTCGTACCAAACGACAGCTCTCCGTGTCTGTCTCCTCTGACGTGTCTTTCCCATTGACTACACGCCTTGAGATGCCAACAGAGACCCATGCACACTTCACACTCACCCTCACACCCACACATACACATCCTTATCACGTCCGTATCTCACACACATGCATATACTCGCACATACGTACCCAGGAAGTCCAGTGTGATTTGATTATCCCCTTCCATAGTCACATGCTCCACCCGTAGCGAGCAGCAGCCCACCGTGTCGGCCTCCTCAGAGGTGTCCTTCTCATTGCCCACACGCAGTGCGAGCCTGTCGATAACGTACAACGCCGTTCCCCGTTGCCTGATAGACATCTCTTTGCTTTTCAGATCGTCTATGTATGTTGAGCGGATCTTCTCTATACACGCCTGGTTTTGAATATTTGTTTGATAGAAAGATGAGTGGCTAGCATGCGGTGGGTATGAGAGTCCCAACTCTCAAGGCACCCATCGCACCACAACACAGAACAGCATACTCTCACACGGCTGTCAAATATAAACTGGCATAAGAAGTCCAGTAGTGCTGCACTGAGAGTCTTTACTACACACCATTAAATAGAAGCCAAACATACACCTGTACACCACTGGCCATTTCTCATGCATGACATCACTGGCACTTTCAAAGAAAGCACATTCCTAGTATAAATAAAGACAAACAAAAAAACAAACACGACCACGACCACGACCACGACCACGATCATGAACACAAACACAAACACAAACACAAACACACACACACACACACACACACACACACACACACACACACACACACACACACA